ATAAAGCCAAGAGTAGCGAGTGAAGTGGTCTACAAATAAAACATAGTACTTGAATCCATCCATGGAAATAACCGGGGATGTCCAAACATCCGAAAACAACAATTCAAGTGGCCGAGAAGAAGAAATCGTAGAACATGAAAAAGGGAGTTTATGACTTTTATTACGAGAACAAGAATCACAAAATAAATGTGGGGAATCCCGAGACAATGGCAAATTAAACGTAGACAAGACTTTTTGAAGAATCGGAAATGCAGGATGACCTAAACGCAAATGCCACTCGGACAAAGTGGACTTATGACTCGATAAAGCAATGGGAGAACTCGAAGAGAGAGGGGGATCCGGCCATTCATAGACACCATCCTTAGCTTTTCCGCTGAGAATCGACGCCCCCGTGTTTAGATCCTTCACCTGAAAACAATGCGGGAAAAATTCAACCGACACCCCATTAGTCTTGCACAACTTAGAGACCGAAACAAGCTTCTTCCTCATAGTCGGAACACAGAGTACATCATTAAGTGCCAATGAACGAGTGGGAAGAGTAAGAGAGAAAGAACCAGTATGGGTGATCGGAAGTCCCGAACCGTCGCCGAGAACAACATCGTCCCCACCTTGATACGGGTTATGCAAGGCGAGGTTATCAAGGTCTGAAGTAATGTGATGCGAAGCACCACTATCAAGAAGCCACTGAGAAGCATCATAAGAAGGGATCACGGTGTGATGAGCCCTTGGTTGCCAAGGCCTCGGCGATGGAGACCACCGAGGATTCGGAGAAGCATGACCGACAGGAACATCAGAAGCAGAGACCAGACGGAATTGGACACATCGCTGTGCACTGTGGCCAAAAATACCACATGCCTGACAACGCCCTTGATACCCCTTGGAACGTCCCGAAGAACCACCACGAGAAGAACCATGTCCTCGGAAAGGAGGACGTGACCGAGGTCCAGTGAAGTTGGCTGTGATGGGTATCGGCGCCGAGGAGAGAGTGGAGGCAACAGCAAGTTTAGCCTCATGAGTGAGGAGTTTCTCATGAAGCTCCTCGGTAGAAATCGCAACGTCTTTGGCCAGCACCATATCGACAATAGGCTTGTACTCTTCCGGTAAGCCGTTTAAGATAGCATCAAGAAGATCTTCATGATCAAAGGGTTTGCCAAGAATGGCTAACTCGTCGGCCTTGGTGGTGAGGAACCGCATGTACTCGTCAATTGATTGCGTGCCCTTCACGCAACGCTTGATCTGATCCCGCAGCTGTAAGAGGTGACCACGCGACGCTTTGCCGTAGATATTGGCAAGTGTTTTCCATGCATCACGAACAGACGAGGCACGAGCGATAACAGGCTGTAAGTTGAGAGAGATAGTGCCGAGGAGAGCACTAAACAACAGACGGTCTTGTTGCTTGAAAGCGGCAAAGGCGGGATTGTCGACAAGGGTTCCGACATTGTCGATTTTCGCCGGCGGAATAACAGCATCATCGAGGATGAAACCTTCCAGTTTGTGTCCTTCAAGTAGAGATTGGACTTGGATACTCCAAGTGAAGTAATTCGAGGAGATGAGCTTGGTCACATTCGACATGTTGACGGTGAGGAGAGATTTGGCCGGATCCAGCGGATTGAACGTGGCGGCAGTATCTGAGGTAGAGTTATCAGCGGACATGGTGACCGGAAAATAGGGTGGACAGCAAGATAATGCACGTCGTCGTTGAAGAGAAGAGATCGGTGGCGGCTAGGGTTTCAGAGTCGTAAGACACTTTTCTCTGATACCATGTAACAGAATTAATATTCTCTGATATATTAGGTTTAGAATAGAGTACGTATATATATATTACATTGGGTAGAGATATGACTAACAACACTATCTACATAATAGGAATACTTCCTATTGTGAATAATATTAAATTATTTCCATATCGTCCAATATATATATATATATATATATAAATGCTCTCTCTCACACACACACACGAATATGTATATATATATATATTAATATATACACACACACGCAACATACACATATATGAGATTAAGTGGTGGCGGTAGCCATGACTTGGAGCAAGGTTGAATGACATCACGATTATCGTAGCATTTTGCTACATGAAACACATATATCCATATGATACCAATTACACACATTCACACATATATATATATATATACACACATATGCCCGCTTATGCATTATATACATATATTGCAACTATACTTGTATATCCTCACATGGTAGCGATGGCTCATAAGCATAGAGAGGAGACCTAACATTTAATTATTTTTTAGCGTCTTTGTAATTTCTGAATTAATATTCGTATAGAATTCAAATTGTCACTTCGTGTTACGCGTAACAAAATATAATAAAAAATTATATAATTATATCAAACAATAGGAAAATCTGCTTAATTTTGACAAGGAAATATTATAATCAAAATAATCATAAAATTTATACAATGATTATTCCACGTGGCCCAAGCAATGCGGTGATAAATGCCGTCATCAATCGTCATCCAATGATGCGGCTCCTTCGCTTTGCAGTCTCGTCTTAAGAGGCAAAAGTCAACTGTCTTAAGCTACACCCGCGAACATTTTATAATTTCCTTTCTAAATGTGGGGTCCACGCGGCAAAAAAATAATTTAAATAATAAAAGAGAATTTTCGGAAAATTTTAATTCGAATTAAAAATAGCACCTATTTATTTATTTATGATTTCATTCCATATCTTGCGGTCCAGTTTCCGCCTTTACACAATTTTATTTCCGTCGAATAAATTTTCTAATCTGATTAGTCATGCTTATCCCATTTTGCAATTAACATTTATATTAGCTGAGTGGTAATTTTTATTATTATTTCGGTCTAAGATACAAAATCAAACATTTCGAATGTAATTCAAGATCAATAATTTTTATTATTATATGGGTTCAATTTACTTCATTAATATGAAAATTGATAAGTTATCTACAAATATTCAACACAAAAAACATATAATATGAAATAAATATGATCATATTCTAGTAAATAAAAACACATTGCCAGTTAATATTTTAGTGGCTGAATCAAGTCGGTGATACGTTGCGAATATTGACTAAAACGACTTTGAAATTTAATCCCAAATCTAATCAATGGTCCGTATTTTGGAGATTAAGCAAATTTTTTTTTTTTTTTTGTAATTAAATATATCTGACCAAGTTTTATAATTGTTTTTTTTTTTTGCAGAAGATGACAAATGAACAACAATCCAATAAATTTTGGGAACAACGAACCAAAAAATAGTTGTCTATGTTGTTTGGAATGATTCTTTTGTGTCTAGTTTGGTATGAATTACAATCTGCAAAAACATTATAATTGAATTTAAAACATTATGCAATAACATTTGTTTGTCATTTAATTAGTGAGTGGCCGTTATTTGAATATATATATAACATTTGGAAGACACACACACAGACAATTAGACAGTTAGTTTAGTTGGAGATTAGGTGCCATTTCGTCGAAACTTTTTCAAGAAAAGTATCAAATTGCGATTATAAAAAAAGAAAAACAAATTCAAGTGGAACGAAGGGTATGCTGGGGAAAAAATAATTTAATGAATGATTTGTTTTAAAATAATTATAATATTTATCATTTAGTTATAATATTAGGTGGGAAAATTATCTTTTTGCCTTACCAAAAGTCAGGAAAAAAAAAACACAAAATACGTAATTTCACTCGTTATCAGTTTGCAATAAATATAAGCCACTATCCTAGAGATTGATAGATAGTCAACAATCGAAAATGAAGATTTTAAATTTACCAATTTGGAAAATAAATAAATAAATTGAATTTAGAAGCAAAATTGATTGTCAGCAAGTTGAGATGACAAGGCCATGTTTTAATCTCTGTTACGCTCCTGCAGGGATTTTGTTTTTGCCAAGTATTTGCTTTGTCATTAGCTTATCTTTTTCAATTGTATATGGACCGTATAAACAATTATTATACCCATTTTACTAATTATCATCAATACAATATTCAAACATAACTCTCGGATTGACCTTAACACAAGTCCTCATTATATATATATATATATATCCTCATTATATATGTGTGTATATATATATATACAACGATTCTCCTTCTACAATTACAACTACACAAAAATACCGTAGAATTCTAAGCATACTTGGTCGCATTATTAAACAAATTGCACAAAGATTCATATACAATATTGGAGGTTGAGATTTTTAGATTAAGAATAATATTTTTGTTGTAATAATGAGAAAATTTATACAACCCATTACATTTTTAAAAATTGCAATGCATCGCTTTTGTACCGTAAGATTCGAATATTGCATTCATGCCTGTGCTTTATATGATCTTTAATTATTGGCTGAGTCAAATTAATACCAATATTACAAATATATAAATAAAAGACCGACATATATTTTTTTAATTTATCATATATCATTCGTAAATTTATAAGGAAAAAGATGTTGACGATTATATACTCACAGGAACAAACAATTTAAAAGATGCATATTATTTATGGGAATTAATAAGCAACTCTTTAACTAGAAAAAGGGGTTTTTTTAGGGTTTTTCTTTCTGTGGAATATTAATTTATTAAAGAGCTTGGCTTTTGTCCAGACTGGGTCCACCTAACACGAAGAGAACCCTCTCTTTCAAACCCTCTTAATTTTTTTTTTTGTTGTTGTTACTACGACTTTTTTTTTTCTATTTAGTTTTACAAAAAAGTAGATGTGGTATGTCAATAAACACATAAAAAAAATATAGAAAAAAATATTTGACAAATTGGATATAAAAATTTAAAAAAAATACATAACAAAATATATAAAACAGTGATTAATTGAGGTGTTGTGTAAGGCGAGTCTTGTTCAACAATTCAGGAAGTTGCTTGGATCCTACGTATCTTTTCAACACAAAAAGATTAAAAAAAAAAAAAGGCATTGTTTTTGTTTCATTAATCCATGGCTCTCTCTTCCTCCTCTATTTAAGCCTCTTTTTCCACCCCTTTTCATGCTTTTATTTCTCTTGCTTTAACTGCTCAGTTTCCTCTTCAAATCTCTCCATCTCCATCTCTCTCCATATATATATATATTCTTGGTCTCTGTCTCTGTGTGTATACACGACACGCACCGGCTTGCTCCATCGTCTTTCCCTCAGGAAAATTTCTGGGTTTTTCTTGTTTTCTTGAAATCCGTAAAGGGTTAATTCACTTTGTTTCTGGGTTTTCGAATATTGTTTGTCAGAGATTAACACAAACACACGTACGTACGCGTAGACTGGTTCCTTAATTTTGGCATGGCGGTGGTGGAAGAAGGCCTGGTCTTGAACCATGGAGGTGAAGAGCTCGTGGATTTGCCTCCTGGGTTTAGGTTTCACCCAACGGACGAAGAGATCATAACCTGTTACTTGAAAGAGAAGGTCTTCAACAGCGGTTTCACGGCGGTGGCTATCGGAGAAGCCGATCTCAACAAGTGCGAGCCGTGGGATTTGCCGAGTAAGACGTCAAACCACAATTTAACGCATCTTGGCCGTTTTTTTTTGTTGAATTTCATCAAATTCTAACTCATCTTAATTTTGTGTGTATATGTATATGTATGCAGAAAGAGCAAAGATGGGGGAGAAAGAATTCTACTTCTTCTGCCAGAGAGACCGGAAATATCCGACAGGAACGAGGACGAACCGTGCGACGGAGTCTGGGTATTGGAAGGCGACGGGGAAAGACAAGGAGATCTACAAAGGCAAAGGTTGTCTTGTTGGGATGAAGAAAACACTTGTGTTCTACACAGGAAGAGCTCCAAGAGGTGAGAAGACCAATTGGGTGATGCATGAATACCGGCTTGAAGGCAAATACTCTTACCACAATCTCCCCAAATCCGCAAGGGTGAGTGTGTATATACATATATATATATATATATATATTCTTCTTCTGCTCCTTTTGTTGTATATATATACATAATTATATAAAATTAAGACCCAGATCGAGAACTTGTTAAAGTTTGTGCCTTTTCAATGTTTAGATTCCACAAGGAGAAGGATCCGAGTTTGTTATTTGTCATACCATCATCATCTTTCATTCGAATTTTGTATACTTCTGTTTGGTTGAGAGGTTTCTTTCAAAAGGGTTATTGTCTGTTTTCTCTTTTCTTCTCTCTGTGCAATTCAAGATTAATCCAAAAAACCAAAACTAACAATCTCTATTCTTTCTTGTTCCTTCGTGTGATGATTATATATAGGACGAATGGGTCGTGTGTAGAGTCTTCCACAAGAACACTGCAAACCCTCTAATGATCAGGAACCCCATGGAAGATCTCGCAAGAATGGATTCACTCGAGAACTTGGATCATCTCTTGGACTTCTCTTCCCTTCCTCCTCTCATGGATCCGAGTTTCCCGGGCCAACCCGGTCCGAGTTTCTCCGGCGAATTCAAACCCATCAACCCCACACCGGCCCACGACAACCACTACACGTCCTACTTCCCCTACCAATCAACCCTAAACCCGGGCTCTAGTTCCGGGTCGGGTTCTGCATACCGCGGACCAAACAGCAACAAGGGCATGATCAAGTTGGAGCACTCTCTGGTCAGTGTGTCTCAAGAGACCGGTCTGAGTTCCGACGTGAACGTAACCGCGACAACCCCTGAGATCTCGTCGTGTCCGGCGACGAAGCACGACGTGTCGGAGACGGCAGTGATGATGATCAATGGTAACAAGTCGTACGATGATCTTGGAGATTTGGGGATCTTATGGGACTACTAATTAACTTGGGAGATTAATTAGTACTATGCAATCGTAACGAAGAGTACTATTGGGTGTTTTTAATCACATATATACATACACGCATACGTATCTATGCATAGGATCATTATGGGCATTCCCTAGTTATTACACTGCATTGAAGTCCTTAGGCGATTGTTTAATTAGTTGAAGAAAGGAAAAACAAAATTAAGGCTTGTGGTTATAAGTTGGGTTATTTGTAATCATATATACAAGCTGTGTATTCGTGGACACTGTACATATATACACACACATATGTATTTGTATACTTTCTTTGATTGATATTCTACATTATATCGATCCAGGAGTTTACATGGTCGAATATTCAGGTGCATACAATATTCATCCCATGTATGCATGTGTTATTCCTAGCTGTATCAGTCTCCATTCAATATATATAGATATATGTATGTATATATAAATTGGTTAAGGAGAAAAATGGAAATATGCACAGATGGAATCTGAAGGAAGAACAGCTCATGAACCATGTGAATTGTTCCCTGAATCTGTGCAAAGCATGAGCCTTTTCATATGCCTAATCATTAGTTTTCTCAGGACATATTATATTAATTAATTAATTAGTTAACCAAAAACATGCTAATTAAGCTAACCAGGACAGTTATTCACGAGGTTTTATTGTAAAAAAAGAATGACCGGTCTTCTGTCTCAAGGAACTCAGTTATTACATCAATCACATTACGTTTCCTATTTAATTTTGTTCGAATTTTAAGTATGTTTTACGTTAATTTTATACGTAAGAAAAAAATACATGATAGTTAATTCAAATATGTCATATCTATTATATTCTAAACGTTATGGCTTAATATTGTTCCTTAATTTGGTTTTACGGACAGTAATGATCGTAATTCCTTAAAACGAGTTAGTTAATTTGTTCCCAATTGCCTCCGCAATTTGCTTCGTTAATTTTGTTCATATATATATATATATATATATATATATATATATATATAACAGATGAAAAAATCAATAATTTGAATGTATAAAATTTAAAGGTGTAAATTTATAATTGAACTTTGTTCAATACATATCGTGGTCTATAAAAAAAACAATAGTATAATATGATAAACTATACCAACAATATAAAAGCAATAATGTATCCTCATTAGTCATCTATTGATGTTCACCTTTTTAGCAATTAATCATGTATTAATTATTTTTACTTTCTTTTCCACTTATTCTCCATTTTTTTATCACTTTCAATAGATGAATTAGAAAAATATAATGTGTTATTTTAGCACGAAAATATAATATATTAGATAATAATAATATATGTACATAATATATTGTGTGCTAATTCGGATTCAAACCCCAATGCCTTTGCCTCGACATTAGAACAAGACAGAGCCGCTCGCTGGTCCGTCGTACGTTTATTTAAAACAAACATAATTTTTAAAATGACTGTCGATATTTTTTAAAATGAAACCGACAAACTTGTAAATCTTGTAAAAATTACGCAATTAAAAAACGGAACGAATTTCAATGTCTCGAAGATGCACAATAATTGTAAAAAAATACAAAAAATTGCATAAACCTATTCAATATTTGTCATTTTCATTTTCGTTTTCGAGGTTACAATTGACACATATAATTTTTTTAATGAAGATATATATGAAATGTGCGTTTTATATGTTTTTGCTGCAAATTTAAAATACTTTCCATTAAAAGTAAAGCTTTTGGATGAATACTTGCAGCAAAGCTAACCGACTTTTTTTTTTCGGTTTCAAGAGATCATTGATGTTCTTTCCTTGCAATATATATATATATATATATATATACATACGCATATATATATATATATATATTATGTACCAAATATATATATGTATATATACATTATGTACCAAATATCACTCCTTCACAATTATTTGTTATTTCAGATATGCTATAATTGAAGTATATATTATTAATGATATGATTATTGAAATCGGGATTTATCTAAATATTAAATTTATATATAACTTTATAAACGAAATAGTCTTGTTTTGGTAAAATTTCTGTGAATCAAAATAGTAGTTTGATATAAAAAAAATCAAGGGTTAGTTAAATTTTACACAGCTATATTCCCTAAAAATATAAGGAAGAATTTGAATCCAACAAATAAAATGATTGCAAGAAAAGGGACATGAAAATATTGGGGATGGTCCCGACCAATGAATTCCTCCACCGCATGACCTCGCTCTGCCGTCCGAATCCAACCGAAACGAACCAATGAATTTGAACCGGTTCAGTCGGTTTTCTTTTTTATTGGTTAGGCTTGTTTTGTGTTATATATATATATATATATATTTGTTTTCATAAGAATAAATTTAACCTACATGGTTATATTATGCATATAAGGTTATTTTTTTCCCACTTATTCAAACGGCTAATTTGAATACCCGAATAAACATTGAATACCATTGGATTGGGCTTTTTTATTAGAAGAGTTGGATTACATTGGGCCTTGAAGAAGAACAAAGTTAAACGTAATACAATTTGTGGGCCCATCTGTCGTGTAACGTGACAGCAATCCTAACGCAAACGCTGCGGTTGAGAAACGCCGATTTTATTTTATTACGTAGCTGTGGCGGCGGTGCGGCTGCGGTTGTCCGAGATGAGCCCATTGGGCCTTGAGGGTGACGTACATGTTTAGGCCCATTAACAAATATATAATATGCGTATGTGAGTTATGGTGATTATGTAAATAGTTAGAAAAGCAAGGGTAGTAATAAAGGGAATAATAAATAATGAGAGAAAAAGAACCGATAAGATTAGATTAGCCAACGTAAAACGAAATCATTAGCCAATCACAGAGTGCTTTCTCTTATTTCAAAGATGCTGCTTTTCCTCACTGTCGCCGTTTCAACAGTGGGAGATTATTCCCTCTCCGTCCATCATTGACGGCAGCGAATCCCTCGTATTCTAGGGTTTTCCTCCTCAACCCAGATTGTCAGTCACTTTCTAATTTCGAGGTACGTCGAGTTCGAAACCTCCCCTTTTGCATTCCTCGGAATTTCCTACTTACTCCCACCGACGATGGATTATTGTCACTGGATCCTGTCATTAGTAATTTATTACCGGGAAATGGTTGGGGTTTTAATCTTCGCGTAATTGATGGTAACATTGGTTGTTGTTAGTTTGTTTGCTGACAAATTTCGGAGCTTTTTGCTGTCTAATTCGAGTTTTCACTGAAATCAGAGTCTTATGACTTGGAATCTGGGATTCGAGATCAGTTCGGGGTCGTAGTGTTAGTTTGTTATTGAATCAGTGTCTTTAATCCTAATGTAGCTTTTCAGAAACGGCTCAGTTGAGTAACCCCTGCTAGTTTCAACCTTGATGAGTTGATAGAACGAGTTCGTCTGCTGTTACAACTTAAATCGATTCATCTGTGTTTCGGCAGTCCTAATACTGTGTTTAAAAACGTGGTTAACTTGAAAAAAATCAACCTCCCATCTTGAGCTTCTTGGATGTGATAATGGCAGATTTCATAAGCCTTTTCATTCTTAATCTGGTATTTATCCGTAATCTTCCTTTGGTCTTAGCTTCTTGGTTTATTGTGTCAAACCCTGAGAAAAAAGATCACTACAGAGACTTGAAGCCATCTGTAGTTTGGACCCAAATTAGCAACAAAAAAAAAAGGACAAAAATCTGGTACAAACCGAGACAAACAGATGCCTCCAAAGAGAAGGGCTATAGATCTTGACATTATTCAGCAACTTCTTGCTTACTGGGTTATGTCCTTCCTTTCACTTCCTGACAAAAAGAATATGAATCCGTCTGTCTTTTGATTGATCTTTTCTTGTACAGAACCCCAGAATGTGAGCTCTAAAAATGTCTGAAGATCTATCCACAGGGCTTCTTCTTTAGCTGTTTTGTGGCACTGACTACAAGCGGAAGTAGCTCAAAATGGGCGCGCTCTGTTGTGTTGCGGCTGCAGGGCCACTGAAAACAAGATCACCAGCCAGTGTCGGAAGGGATATTTCTTCCCTACGCCACAATGATGACTTGCATTGGCGCATGAATCTCAGCTTCTCACCATCTCGAGATTCTAGGAACCTTTTCCGACAGGATTCCGTCAATGGACCTCATAGTTCTGCATTGTTCTTGGGCGGTAGTAGAAGTACCGGTACAGGTCCCTTGTCCGATCTGGTGTCAGGAAGTATGCCTGCAAACTTTCAGCAGTCACCAAGGCAGGTGTCTTGGGTGAATTCATCTGCTTCTAGAGGTAATTATCAGAGAATATGAGGTTTTTTCTTAGAAGTGCTGCAGCTTTTGGGTTCATTCGCCTATTTGGTTTGTCAGGATCAAGAACCATGACGTCCCAGTTTCCCCTTTCAAAGGAGGTAAATTAGTCTCTTTGGACTTCCATGCGATGATGAACTGTCATTTCTTGGCTGGAAGAACCATCTAACCACTTTGACCTGATTGTCCCAGGAGGAGCAACAAGATGTTGATCATGCACCTACAGCCATCTGTTCCAGTGTTAATTCCTCAGTGTCTCCTTCCGAATCATCATCCACCCACTGGGAATCTACAAGCAAGCAACCCTTCAGCCCTAGCTGGTACTCTTATCCTCGAGTCTTCTGCAACCCAGTGTCAGATTGTGAGAATCATGAACTCGCAGGTACGAAGGTAGATTCATCAACGACTCCTCAACCCAGTTTTACCACATCCAAAAGAAACCATCGTCTGTCGCCATCTCTCTTCCAGCCTCCTAGATCAACAAATGAATTATCACCGGAACCAAGTACTAGTTCTAGTAGAGAAGAAATGGAGCTAAATGTAGAGATGCTGGATACAACAGAGTGGAGAAACCAGAGATATTCTGGCAGTTCAACGACAACTCAGAAATGCGGGATCTGCAAGAAACTTCTGTCCCAGAAATCTCCATGGTCCTCTTATAGGATAATGAGAAGTGGGGACATGCCAGCCGCTGGTATCCTGCCCTGTTGTCACACCTACCACGTTGAGTGTTTGGATCAAGTGACCCAAAAGGCTCAAACCAGAGACCCTCCTTGTCCAGTTTGCTCGAAAGCCATCGGATCCATGGAAGAGCCCTTGATAGTACCGGAAACATTACAGCTGGCATTGAGATCACTCAGAAGAAGCCGCATAGGCCTGGCATCAGAATCACCAAGTAATCCTTCCAACAACGATAACAGAAGCCGTGTAAGGAGAAGAAGCCAGCGACATGCATGGCTAGGGTGCTGTTTAAATATAACTTTCCGGAAGCGGACGTGAACCAATGCAGTATTCAGATGTATATTAATATTCCATTTCATTGGATAAGACAAAGCAATAGAAGCGATGATCATTCTTGTAACTTGTAACCCACCTAGTCAGCCAGTTAATGTACGACATTGTATAACAAGGAATCGAGTACTATATATGTAAGAAAATCCAGAAAACGTTTATGTTTCTGCTTAGTTTGTATTGGGCGATGATTCACTATGCAGAAGCTATTTCCAAATAGAAACACTGCGCATAAGCTACACTTGCCTAAACCACTAATGCAAAATGTTTCTCCTTTAACAAAGAGAAATGTTTTCCTGAGAAAATGTTGGACAGAAAGAAGATTTCTGGCGTCAAAAACGCCAAAGACGGAGAAAACGAGTAAACATAGGACAGATCTCGACAAATGTCCGATATGAGAGGAAAAGGTATAGACTTTAAAGAAATTAAAACTAAGAAAGATGACAATGACAAATGCCTGTAAAAAATTTAAAAAACTGAAAACAACAAATTAGTGTAATCGCTAGAAGAAACCATACCTCAAATCTCACATGAAGACCCAATTCAAGTTTTAGGGGGAAAAAAGAAACAAAACAAGAATAAAGTAACGTAATTTAGGTGTGAAAAGCCCGCAAGGCCATCATCAGGGCTGATTCATCTCGAGCCGCTCCGACAGCGGGCAGTCTTCATTGCAGAAGCCAAAGAGAAATTGGGACACAGGGTCGTCGTGACCTTTCCGTCTTCGCCGTGCCACGGCCACCGGAGCCGCCAGTAAATCCCCTCGGAGAAGAGGAGAAGAGGTTGCTCGTCGGGCCGCGCCGAGAATCAGGTGACGGCGAAGGATCGGAGAAGGCAACAACCCTAACACTAAAACCCTTTTACTCTGCTCAGATAAGATCAAGTAATTTGTGTCTGTGATTACTGTTAAGCTTCATTTTTTATAGAGGGTTTTGCCCCTTTTTTATTATCTCAATGTCGAAATTGCAAAACTACCCTTGTGTTGATAGAGAAGTAAACAAAAGTCCCGTAACTATTAAAAACTTATGAAATGACCCCATTACATATGAAATTAAAATTAAACCCCTTGGGGTTGACATACATCAGTCATCAATTAATAGCTGAACGCCATGGGAGCATTCAATCGTCCTATATTCTATTAAATAAAGACTGATCCATATCAATTTTTTTACAACTAATATTTCGTTTTACAAGAAATAGCAATATCTTATATATATATATATATGCATATATGGACGCTATTTTAAATCTTAAAAGAAGATAAATCTATTGAAATCTGTAATCTGTATTTTTTATTCTAAAATAGTAACGAAATAGAAAAAAATAATTTATGAAAGAAGATTATAAAACTCAATTAAGACGTGCAAACTCTAAGGTAAAAAAAGCAAAACTCCTAAACTTTCGTTTTGACCCCGAAAGAACAAAAAAACCCCAAATCCGCCCCAGAAAAAAGCTCTTCACTCCACGCTGAGTACCTTCACAACAGAGGAACCATCGATCTTATGCAACGCGACGACAGAATCTTCGGCCTTACAGATTCCTTTCCTCTTCGCGAAATCGACGGCGAACCTGATCGTCTCATCCGTCGCGTCCTTGTTCGAAGCCCTCGCCGATGATCCCGTCGCCATAACCGGAATTATTCCCCGGAAAATCAGGCCACGCCTCGCCACGTGAACCGCGTCTTCCCGGCACGACCACTCGAAATCTTCCGTCCTCGATATCTCCGGTACGATCACTGAAAGAATCGGGATGCTTGGTCGGTACTTAGCTACGAGCTCCGCCGTGGATCCGCCCTTGGTCAGGACCACGATCGCCGACGCGCGGAGGCTTTGCGCCGTCGAGACGGCGGATGCGGCTAGGGATTCGATTGGGCTCAAAGGGAAAGGGGCGATTTTTAGGGTCTTCTTGTAGAGATCGCCGTAATCAACGAATTTCTCGGCCTCTGTACAGATCCTGGCCATTGTACGAACCGCAGTCTCGGGGTGGGCTCCAGCGGCGGTCTCTCCGGAGAGCATGACGCAGTCGGTTCCGTCGAGGACGGCGTTGGCGACGTCGGTGGCTTCGGCTCTGGTCGGACGGGGCGATTTGGTCATGGATTCGAGCATCTGAGTGGCGGTGACGACCGGTTTCCCGAGCGCGTTGGCCTTCTGAATCATCATTTTCTGGGCCAGAAATATCTTCTCGATCGGAATCTCCATGCCGAGATCGCCCCTCGCCACCATGAAAGCGTCGGAGTTCGCCAGAATCTGGTCGAAGTTCATCACTCCTTCTTGGTTCTCCACCTGAATTTCCCATGAAAAAAGGTTTGATTTTTCACCATGTTAGTTTTGAAGAATCGGAGAAGTTCACCGATGCTCTACTTCGTTGAAACTTGTGGTTTCTGAGATTACCTTGGACATGAGAATAATGCTCTTTGCGTGCTCTCCAAGTAACTTCCTGACCTCGACGAGGTCAGACCCTTTACGAACAAAGGAGAGAGCGATCATATCGATCTTATTTGGAACACCCCATTGCAGAATATCTTCTTTATCTTTATCGGTCAGTGTTGGGAGATCGACCACGACTCCGGGAAGATTGGCATTCTTCCTCTCTCCCAGAACGGCAGAATTCTCGCACCGGCACCGGACAAGACCCTGATTCTTGTCACACGACAAGACAGTGAACGAGATTGTCCCGTCGGCGCAGAGAATCACGTCTCCGGGGTTCACATCTTCTGCGAGTTTCTTGTAGCTCATGGAGATCATCTCTGCATCGCCTTCTATGGTGTAATCTGTCGAGATTGTGATATCCTCTCCTTGGTTTAGCTGTACCGGTTTGCCTTCTTTCAGTAACCCGGTTCTTATCTCAGGACCCTGTAAACAGATTCAGGCAAACTTCAGTAGCAAACATTCCTCCGATTCGCCGTCTTCTTCCTCGGGTCTTCATCTCCATGGCTGTGATCATCGTCTTCTTCCTCGTTGCTGTTTCTCTCGTGTTCTTGATCTCGTTCTGATTCGTCGTCTTCCGGCCTTAGAGATTTGGATTGGTTGATCAGACTGTTCATCCTGTGAATCCCTATCGGCGGCCATCCGACCACTTGACTGCGCATCAAACCAATCAATCCAGATCGTGAGTTCCTCATTCTAAGCATAAAGATTCTGTTTTTTTTTTCATTATAAAGATTTTTTTTTTAACATAACTTAGCTTCTGATGTGATGTTACCAGAAACAAAAGTTACCCAAATCTCTCAGTGACAAAAAAAAAACTTGAACTTTCCCAAAAAACAGGAAACCCAAATTGAGAAAACGTCGTTTTACGAGAGATTTCAGATTTTTTTTTTTTTTTTTTGGGGGGGGGGGGGTTAAGTAATTCAATCAGATTTTCGAAGAATGGAATAAGCAATGTGTGTATACCTTGGTATCGAGCATGACAGCGCAGATAATACCAGTGTTTTCCATGGCGGTTCTGAGGTTGTCGAGAGTCTGCTGGTGGTAAGAGTGAGAACCGTGTGAGAAATTGAACCGGGCGACGTTCATGCCGGCTCGGAGAAGCTTCTCGATCATCTGAACCGATCTCGAGGCTGGTCCGAGTGTGCAGACGATTTTAGTCTTTGGCATCATCACGACGGCGTCGGCGGTTACCTCTTTCCCAAGCAACTTCTCCATGGTGAAAGCCACCAAAAAAATAAACCCTAGAAAACGCAGCTAAAGACGTGATGGGTTTACGTACAAACCCTTAAATGTATATATGTATATATACATATGGAGTGATTTACGTTTCGTTTGTGGGCTCTTTGTTCGTGTTCTGATTGGCTGCGGGTTCCTCGGAGAGTTGTAAATGGTAATTTCCTTTTGTTTTGGTTTCTAGAGAATAATGATTTGTCAATTTCACTAATCGGAGGTTAATTTTGTAAAATAAAAAAAATTGGAAAATCTTTTTATTTCCTTTTCTTTTTCTACAACACCGACATACAGATCATTCGTGTTTTGGACCAAATTCTGTTTGCTCTCACGCTTATTCGGTTGTGGGCAATGCACCGATCCAATCTGATTATTTAGTTTGTTTATTTTATTGATCCATCAATTGCTTAAGCTTTGTTGAGAAGCATCATTTGTACAAAACTAGGGAAAAAAAGAAGCTCAACGGCCCCATTGGAACATGAACTAAACAAGTTGACATTCTGTAATTGTTTTACAAAATATGAAGTTTCCATGGAAAGGTAAGTAAAGTGCTAAACTTTCCAGTAAAAGGGCGAATCTTTCACCAGCCCAAGTCGTTTATTTCTCACTCTAAAAGAATGGTGCTGAGTTGTTTGTCCCAAAGTAAAAGACATCATTCACCATCCTTTGGTGAGAAATTAAAACATCATTGAACAAGTTGAGGCAGAGAATGGCGTACCAAATGATTAAATCCATAGAATGCATTTGCAGTATATATATGCAATGGGAGTACCAAGCCAGTTCATTTCCGTCTGTTTCGATCCCTCCAAAACACGAAATCTACGATTGCAGTTATTATCTACAATGTCGTCACAGCTGTAAAACTATCCCAAAAAACTATTCTGAATCCATGAGCTTCCAAGTCTCCGTATGTTTGTGTTCTGTAAGATGAAAAGGGGTCAACCAGATAGGACACATACCAGTGGAAGTAAAACTGATGAGAAACTGATTGTGATTATGAGAGGCATATGCCACTATGAACATCGTATAATCGCTAACCAAAGGCAATGTTCTGCTATGGATGTTATCCTGATCTATGATGTTATGTGGCATGATCAAACAAGAAAGTGGAAAGAAAATATAGCCCCGGAACTAGAAATCCGAATAGTTCTTTCTGTTCTTTCCTTTTCTTTTTTTCTCTGGCTTTGGGAGGAATAACTAAGATTCTAGACTTGGGAGTGCGACTTACCCGACTTTGCTTTAGGTCTGGATTCTCTTATTCTCATTCCGCAGAATCTCAGGAACCCACTTTTGGCTTCCTTTACCTGACTCTGCCCTGCAAGGAATATCATTCCATTGTCCGATTAGCCAATCACAATCCAGCAATGTAGCACACATGTCGAGCTATGCTTCTGCCGCATCAAGAGGTTTTCCACATCAAGAGTAAAGTCGGTAACCAAACAGAATATGCAAAAGGGAAATAAACGTACAAGTAAAAACTTGGGGCCTCTCACTACATGTCTTTATTTCAACAGTGACATTTCAATGGACATCAGCAAAGGAACAAGGAGATAAAAGAGTTTCAGCATTCAAATAACTGCAGAGTCAGAAGCGCAAAATGGAGAACACCAACTATAAAAGGCAATAATCTTCTCAGAACATAAACGTTTAAACAAGTGGAATGTACCATTGTTGCACTATCACCGAGAAACAAAGCATAACCACATCCGAAAACCGTCGTGTGACAATCATACAGTCAGACAATTTCAGTTATCTGCAGGGGATAAAATTTGAAAATTTTAATTCCTAAAAGTACCATCTGTAACTAAAACAGAGAATTATCGATAAGATTTAAAAAATCTTGACGCCAAGAAGAAAATGATACATCAGTTAAAAAGGCGACAAATGCCAAAACCGGCATGGTAACCACGAAATAAGTTTCCCTTTGCTATACAAGATCACCAAAATTTATCAGAAAACAGCAGTAATATATATATATAAAATCAATCAGAAGGATAGTTAATGACTTGCATGGTTTAGTTCGATCATATCGAAGAAGATGTTTCGGACTTACAGCACACTAGATGAAGCTTCTATGGAAGCATATCCCCGTCCACATGGTAACCAACTATTTAGGAAATATGCTGTAATACGTTGCCTTCAGGTTTGATAGGTTCTTCCCAAACAGAATAAAGTGCTTCCGGAATCAGAACCATGAGATATCGCAAAAGGGTGGCTTCGAATAAATGTAAAGATATCATTCAAGGAATATAAGATTTGGTTTTTGACCTTCTCCCCTGGAACAACTGACCATATTTCTACCAAGATCCTTATGGCATCTATCAAGCACTTATTAGATATGTAACTCTATAATCGATATATATTCTCCATTGCATAGAGTAACCTAAGTGACTTGGCAGTTGACAATCATCACATCTATATCTTTATCAAAGCATTTATTCTATATAGCTGTAGATCATATGAATGCAATTCCCCAACTCATTAAACAGAAAAAATTGTAGATCATATGAGTGCAATTCCCCATCTCATTATACATCAAAAGTATAATTTCGAGTCAACATCAACATCATATTACACACTACGATAAGATTGAGGATGGGAAAGAGTATGAAACTGACCGATTAACGTTACATGCAGGCACAACTTATAAGTGAACGTAGAACATTAGACATCGCTAGAATAGCTGCACGCGAGAATAGTGTAAGAAAGCGGCCAAAAAAGCCATGCAAAAATGCTTAAAAATAGATGTATTGAATATGCACATATACATATATACACACCATACATGAATGTATGGCAAACTGGTACATTAGACAGGGAAAGAAAAACATACATATCACTGTGAGGCGAGACCTAATGTTTTGTGCCAAACAAAGTGAAGATACGGCGACTCCACTTATTTTATATTCTGCGTAGAGAAAAAATACTAAGCTTGTTGAAGGAGACCGCATGAAATATTCTTCATTGTTTTTTTTTTCTCTTCACATTCAAACTATCTCAAAGGCAAAGCATGTGCCAACAAAATTTTCACTTTGTTGCTATCTCATAGCAAGGCTTCCAGTTGATTCAGTCAAAAGGATTTGAAAATTACATTCTCCACAACATAACCTGCTAACCCTTTAATATCAGCAACTGCTGATTAAAACTATACAAAAAATCGTGTCTCGTTATGTAAACCAGAGCCAGAAATAACTCTATCAAGAAAAATGTCCAAGCAAATGCAAAGCATTCAGAATATTCCCAGAGAGAAAGTGAGAGAAGACAGTATTGTGGGCTTTGAAAATATTGAGAATAGAAAAAAAAAGTGGATTCCGCAACCGAAGTTAAAAAAATTTCTAAAAAATCGGGGAATGAGATACTTCTCTCTGCAATAAGGGCAAAAGAATGTGCGTATGATGCATTCATTGTGGATCAATTCTGGTATCTAATGCAAAGTTTGAATTGTGTTGAAAAGATGTAGCCAAGAGGAATCAAGCTCCGAGTATAAGACCAAAACACGATAAGCACATACCTTAATTATCTTCCTCTAGTTAGCCCTTTTCTGTTCAACTTCCTATATAAAGCAAATTCTTTTGGTTATAATACAGGTCCAAGGAAAAAAAAGTACCATAAGAGAAGAAGGCACAATCTTCTTCCCAAGTTGGTGGAGTTGTACACCCAAGAACATAGCATAGTTTCTCTGAACTACTTGAAGGAAGCAGACAGGATTACAGACTAAGATTGTGTCAGGTAAAGCATTGATCACAACCAGCACCAGGCAAAAAAAAACATTTACATTAGTGTAGTTCCAAGTAAGGCTAAACTTACATTTGTCTTCTGAAGGCACACATGTATTATCACAACCAGCACCGAGAAAAGAACACATTCTCTTCGCCAAGAATGCCCATCCCATCTGAACGGCACTCATTCCTCAGAGGAGGGAACAGCCCAGGAGATTCTGGACTGATCCTCTCAACTGATGCAAAGCCAAGACTAAAATGGACACCAAATCTTCACGAGAGATTTGTTGAAGCTGTCAATCGGCTCGGTGGAGAAGATAGTAAGATATCTTATTAACAACAAGGGCAAAAAAAAGAGGCATCTTTGATGGCTGGTGGTTAGATATAATGTCCTTTTTATTATCTGTGGCTGTTGCAGAGGCCTTACCTTGTATCACCTCAAGAGTCATCTTCAGCTATCCCATCAACTCTTTTCTGCACAAACATATGAAATATGTCTCTCAGTGATTTCTCCATATGGGCCATTCTCTATAAATATTTGAACATTTCTGAATAATTTGCAGTATCCAGAAAAGGATAACAAACCAAGACCTGCAAAACCATGTGCTAGCTTTCTTTGCATTCAGAAATGTTATTTAACTTCATGATTTGCCTACCAGAAATACAGGCTAAGCAAGAATCTCAACGGACAACCCAATAGTGTTTCAAACAAGATGGGTAAGACCAGATTTTCATTGCATACCCAAATATCCCTTTTCTTTTTCAAAATATTATCCTAAACAAAAAGTAACTTGTTTGATACAGGTATAATGGCCATGGCAGATGAAAAGAGCCCTGATACAAATGAAATTCAAGCTCATAGTTTAAGCATTGGGCCAGAGTCAAACAAGTAAGAATATGGCTAATTGCATATATCTTCCAACTTATAATTGTCAAAAATGACTTATGTTATGTTTGTGTGCCCAGGAACTTACCTATAAACGAAGCCTTGCAAATGCAAATAGAGGTTCACAGAAGGCTACAAGAGCAACCCGAGGTATCATACACAATACTATGGATTCAATCCAATAAAAAAGCTTAAAAATTTCAGAAAACACATAGTATAAAGAGCAGGGACCATCATGATGCAAAGTATCAGTATGGCATATAATTACCATCTAGCAAGAGAAAGCATTTAGTTACATTTTCAGAAGATATTTTCAACTGAGCGTGACACTTGCAGCTCAGGATAGAGGCTCAAGGAAAATACCTGCAGGCGGTTTTGGAGAAAGCCCAAGAGACATTAGGAAATCAGAATTTAGGTACAGATGGGCTTCAAGCTGCCCAAGTTCAACTCTCTGGACTAGCATCTAAAGTATCAGCCGAATACCCGAATGAAAATTTTCTAGAACCAAAGGACTTCCAAAGTCTACACGCTCAGCAAATGCAAAGGACCTACCCTCCCAATTGCTCCTTGAACGGTAGCATGACCTCCCAAAAAGGAACCCAAACAAGCACCAAAATGTTTATGAACAGACTGGGATTACGGCCATATCTTGGTGGTTCAACATCAGCCCACGAGGACGTTACAGAAGAACCGTTGTTCCAACGTATGGAGTTCACTTCGCCAGAAGGCTGCAGAGAGAATAGACCATATCTTTCCATAATGGTTAACAATGCAGAAGCAACAATATCTTCTTCAGAAGTAGGATTGCATGGGCAGAGAGGAAATGGTGACACCGGATATACGGAAGAAAGAATCAAGAAGGATGAGGACTGTAAGTTTGAAACCCAGAACCAAAAGGGCAACTCAGCAACAGAGCTAGATCTCAACACAAATGATGAAAACCATGACAAAGCCCGTCCAAAACACTTCGGCTTGAATGGTTTCAGCTGGAACTGAGAAGGATCACCGAAGTCAATAGAGTTTGAACTTTGAAAGGTCCGTGCCCGTTTCAGAGTTCGCCCCTAGAAGCTCCTTTGACATCCCACATCAGCCTGGTGACTCATCTAACTCGAATTCGTCAATTCAATCTCTAAACCACAAAAACAAAGACATCTTGAGCACAATGTACAAGCCATTCATTTGTATAATCCCCTAAAACAGACAATTTCCTAGATTACATGCAAGATATCCATATTTTAGAGAGGCTAATAAATACTCAAGAATCATAAAAAAAAAAAAGATTTGCTTCTTGAACAAGCCGGTAGCAGTTTCAGAGTTTAAAGCTTGAATTTTTTTTCCTCACGTTCCATTTCCAGTGAAGGAATACAATAATAGAACTACACTAAACAGATGTTAGAGATTCTGTTGTACAACATCCATGATTTCCACTCAAATCTAATCGACAAGCAACGAGAAACAAGCCGATCATGACAAATAATCGATCAAAATCCATGAACCCTGGAAATAATGGCAATGGGTAGATGGATACAACACATAATTACCCATTTCGGATTCCGATCACAGTACACACAGCGAGCGACAGAGAAAGAAAAGAAATTGCATAAAGGGTACCAAAATAAGCCACGAGACCAGTCAGGAACAAACAACACGAACAGCGAAAACAATTACACATACACCCATTTCGAACTTCGATTTCAAATTTGAGAGGACTGTCCTCCATTTCATGAAGGAAGAATTGAAGGGTGATAAAGTTTCACTTGTAAACAAAGATCATACCATTTGTTGTCTGGCCGTCAAATCCCACTATCTTGTTTTCACCGCCACTGCTATATCCAAACCCAAAATGCTTGGGAACAGAAGGGGTGTAGCAATTCTCTGGAATTTCCCGGCATAGGGATTCCAAAACCCCATCTCACCTACTAACGTTTTGAAAAAAAAGTTACCTTCTTCGCAGGTCAACAGAAGTTCTATTGGGGCTAAATCGATGCAGAATTTTTCAGACCTAAGCGTTGTGGGAACTACCGACCTAATCCCTAGAGAGTCCCACACCATAAACTCAGTCATTCTACAAAATCTAACAAATACAATTAAGATTTCCCTCAATCTATTGAGATTAGAGAAAGAAAAACGAAGAAAATGCATTTTACCTGATTTGAAATCGAGATTCTGAACTTGGTTCCTCGCCGATCTTGCGACGAATCGATGATGGATTTATCTCCCTCTCTTCTCTATTCAACTCAACACAGATCGAATCGCACCCAAGAGAAACAAAACAAGACCAACAGAAAGATCGAGTTCGGATCGTCTCAGAGGGGAGAGATTTCGAGCAAGATTACAAGAACAGATTAGGCTCTCTCTAAAAACCCCTGGTTGTTCTTGTAATCTTGCTCGAAATCTCTCCCCTCTGAGACGATCCGAACTCGATCTTCTGTTGGTCTTGTTATGTTTCTCTTGGGTGCGATTCGATCTGTGTTGAGTTGAATAGAGAAGAGAGGGAGATAAATCCATCATCGATTCGTCGCAAGATCGGCGAGGAACCAAGTTCAGAATCTCGATTTCAAATCAGGTAAAACACATTTTTTTCGTTTTTTCTTTCTCTAATCTCAATAGATTGAGGAAAATCTTAATTGTATTTGTTAGATTTTGTAGAATGACTGATTTCATGGCGTGGGACTCTCTAGTGATTAGGTCGGTAGTTCCCACAACGCTCAGGTCTGAAAAATTCTGCATCGAATTAGCCCTAATAGAAGAAGGTAACTTTTTTTCCAAGACGGTTGTACATGAGATGGGGTTTTGGACTGTTTGGACATGGTGTAGAAAGCGGTAGGGTTAGGGCAACTCGGGTTCGACACAGTCTCGGGACTATCTCCATCTTGAGCATTAACTATCTGTCCATCTGCACCTGTGGTTAACCCAACCATGGAGCTGCTTGCATGAATCGCTTTGTGGCTACCTCTCTCTGTTTAACAAATGACAAATAGAATTGTAAGCTGACTATGCTTGAAGCATTAAAAGAACGTCAAACACTATCATGACACCATTACTAAAGCAAATATTTAGCCTTAGTGACAGCCTGAGTTCGCAGATAAAAGCTCTGACAGCACTGACCAATACAGTATCAAGAAGTTCTATCAGATATATTACACTCCCGGTTTCATTTATCCCTTGAATACTTCTGATTTGAGCTCTACCTTTGTGCCCCAGTTCAGCTGTTCTCTAATAAGTCTCATACAACCTGTTAAAAATGCGACAAATGCAAAAACCGACATGGTAACCACGAAATAAGTTTCCCCTTGCTATACAAGATCACCAAAATTTATCAGAAACAGCAGTAATATATATAAAAAAAAAAATCAATCAGAAGGATAGTTAATGACTTGCATGGTTTAGTTTGATCAGATCGAAGAAGATGTTTCAGACTTCTAACACACTAGATAAAGCTTCTGTGGAAGCATATCCCCGTCCACATGGCAATCAACTATTTAGGAGATATGCTGAAATACTTTGCCTTCAGGTTTGATAGGTTCTTCCCAAACAGAATGAAGTGCTTCCGAAATCAGAACCATGAGATGTCGCAAAAGGGTTGCTTCGAATAAATGTAAAGATATCATTAGAGATATAAAAGATTTGGTTTTTGACCTTTCCCCCTGGAACAACAGACCATATTTCTACCTAGATCCTTATGGCATCTATCAAGCACTTATTAGATATGCAACTCTATAATGGATACATTCTAAATTGCGCAGAGTAACCTAAATGACTTGGCAGTTGAAAATCATCACATCTATGTCTTTATCAATGCATTTATTCTATATAGTTGTAGATCATATGAGTGCAATTCCCCATCTCATTATACATCAAAAGTATAATTTCGAGTCAACATCAACATCATATTACACACTACGATAAGATTGAGGATGGGAAAGTGTATGAAACTGACCGATTAACGTTACATGTGTCTTCTGAAGGCAGACATGTATTATCACAACCAGCACCGAGAAAAGAACACATTCTCTTCGCCAAGAATGCCTATCCCATCTGAACGGCACTCATTCCTCAGAGGAGGGAACAACCCAGGAGATTCTGGACTGATTCTCTCAACTGATGCAAAGCCAAGACTAAAATGGACGCCAGATCTTCACGAGAGATTTGTTGAAGCTGTCAATCGGCTCGGTGGAGAAGATAGTAAGTTATCTTATTAACAACAAGGGCAAAAAAAAGAGGCATCTTTGATGGCTGGTGGTTAGATATAATGTCCTTTTTATTATCTGTGGCTGTTGCAGAGGCCTTACCTTGTATCACCTATAAAAAATAGATTACAAAGTTATATATTTTGATCTAATATAAATTTAAATTTAAAATTTTTTAATTTTATATGGTAATAAATTTTTAAAAATGATAATTTATTATATTTTTCATTTGGAATAAGTATTTGAAACTAATAGTATTATAATTTTGATTATATCATTTATGAAAATATTATATCCTGAATTATTTAGTATTAAACAAGTTTTTAGTTTTTAGAACTTTCTATTATTATATAATATTTGTATATTTTTTATATATGTATATACATTATAAAATATATATATATATATATATATATATAAAAGATTGAATAAATGTATATATATGATCAAATATGTGTGAAATATATATATGTATATCTATATTTACCTATATACATATATATTTATACATATAATTTATTTTTTTAATCGGGCCTACGGGCCGGGCCGGGCCGACCCGGCCCGAACCCGCTTTTGGCCCGTAATTTTCCGGGCCGGGCCGGCCCGGCCCGAAAAACGAACGGGCCTTGATTTGTAAAGCCCAAGCCCGCAAATTTTACGAGCGGGTTCGGGCCGGGTATCGGGCCTCGGGCTATTTTGACACCCCTACTTATTAGCATCAAGGGAAAAAAAAAAGAGGCATCTTTGATGGCTGGTGGTTAGATATAATGTCCTTTTATTATCTGTGGCTATAGCAGAGGCTACTCCTAAAACAATCATGAAAGTTATGGGAAATATGTCTCTTGGTGATTTCTCCATATGGGCCAGCCTGTATAAATATTTGAACATTTCGGAATAATTTGCAGTATCCAAAAAAGGATAACATTAGAGGCTCAAGGAAAATACCTGCAGGCGGTTTTGGAGAAAGCCCAAGAGACATTAGGAAATCAGAATTTAGGTACAGATGGGCTTCAAGCTGCCCAAGTTCAACTCTCTGAACTAGCATCTAAAGTACTTCCAAAGTCTACACGCTCAGCAAATGCAAAGGACCTACCCTCGCAATTGCTCCTTGAATGGTAGCCTGATCTCCCAAAAAGGAACCCAAACAAGCCCCAAAATGTTTAAGAACAGACTGGGAGTACAGCCATATCTTGGTGGTTCAATATCAGCTCAAGAAGATGTTACAGAAGAACCGCTTTTCCAACGTATGGAGCTCACTTGGCCAGAAGGCTGCAGAGAGAATAGACCATATCTTTCCATAATGGTTAACAATGCAGAAGCAAGAATATCTTCTTTAGAAGTAGGATTGCATGGGCAGAGAGGAAATGGTGATACCGAATATACGGAGGAAAGAGTCAAGAAGGATGAGAAATGTAAGTTTGAAACCCAGAACCAAAAGGGCAACTCAACAACAGAGCTAGATCTCAACACAAATGATGAAAACCATGACACAGCCCGTCCAAAACACTTCGACTTGAATGGTTTCAGCTGGAACTGAGAAGGAACACCGAAGTCAATAGAGTTTGAAAGATCCACGACCGTCTCAGAGTTCACCCCTTTGACATCCCATCCCACATCAGCCTGGTGACTCATCTAACTCGAATTCGTCAATTCAATCTTTAAACCACAAAAACAAAGACATCTTGAGCATAATGTACAAGCCATTCATTTGTGTAATCCCCTAAAACAGATAATTTCCTAGACTACATGCAAGATGGATATATTTCAGAGAAAGGCTAATAAATACTCAAGAATCATTAAAAAAAATTGCTTCTTGAACAAGCCGGCAGTAGTTTCAGAGTTTAAAGCTTGGATTTTTTTTTCCTCACGTTCCATTTCCAGTGAAGGAATACAATAATAGAACTACACTAAACAGATGTTAGAGATTCTGTTGTACAACATCCATGATTTCCACTCAAATCTAATCGACAAGCAACGAGAAACAAGCCGATCATGACAAATAATCGATCAAAATCCATGAACCCTGGAAATAATGGCAATGGGTAGATGGATACAACACATAATTACCCATTTCGGATTCCGATCACAGTACACACAGCGATCGACAGAGAAAGACAAGAAATTGCATAAAGGGTACCGAAATAAGCCCCGAGACTAGTCAGGAACAAACAGCAACACGAACAGCGAAAACAATTACACATACATCCATTTTGAACTTCGATTTCAAATTTCAGAGGACTGACCTTCATTTCATGAAGGAAGAATTGAAGGGTGATACATATATTTCCTTTTATGCTTAAAAAATGAAAATAGCCTAAAAACGAATTTTCTAAAAAGTTCAAACTTTTTACTAAACGTTCATGATTTTATTTTAGAAATTAAAAAATTGTAAAACTAAAAAAATATGTGAAAATATGACAAAATTTATAAAGTTAAAAAATTTATGATTTTATAAGGAACGTTTTCAGAGTTTATGATATTTTCAGGCTATTGTCCCCCTTAAAAAAAATAATATTTTTGTTTTATGGTAAACAAAACTAGGGTAGTGAATTTAGAAAAGTATAAAACATTAGGGGATAAATTATAAACGGACAAGTTGGATGATAAAAAGCCCGTCACGCTAATTTGGGCCGTCGATATCGAACGAGAACTGTCACGGTCGCAACTGGTTCGGCTTCGATTTGTTCATCGCATAATCTAACGACACATTTACGTCATCTCCTTCTCCCTCCTCTGAAAACCCTAATTCTGTGTCTGAGAGGGCTTTTGCCTGAAGATCGAAACAGGACCGGAGACAAGCAACGACTTCTCGAGGACTTTTGTCTCATTTTTATGATAAAATTCTCGAAGAGGGTTCTTCTGAGATTCTGCTGGTATGGGTGCGAGCCGCAAGTTACAGGGTGAGATCGATCGGGTGTTGAAGAAGGTTCAGGAGGGTGTTGATGTCTTTGACAGCATCTGGAACAAGGTATGTCGTGTCCTTTTCCTCCCTTTCTCTTCCTTTCTTTAATGGGCAATGCAGGAAATTTTCGCTGTTGGAATTTCCTCCACGTCTTTGGTACTGAACTAGTGTGATCGATGACATTACGATAAAAGAAATTTTCAATTTCTTCTCTTAAAAAAGCGATGTTTCATTTTTTATTGGACAAAGGTATTGAGCTCAAAATTTTCTCTGTTTTTTTTCAAACCCGTATTCAAAATCGAGACGTTTTAGCCCTTGAAGCAATTCGGCCAATAGATCATATTATCGTTGTTCCTTTGTTGTTTTGTACTGGATGGAGTCTCGTGTCCTTGTTCTTTCTTTCTTTCCTGTGAAAAAATTGCCACTTCTTCTTCTTCCTTGGTATTAACACATTTTTGTTGCTTGGACAGAGGAAAAAACCTGTTTCTTGATATGTTTCTGTTTCAGGTTTATGACACAGACAATTTGAACCAAAAGGAGAAGTTTGAGGCGGACTTGAAGAAGGAAATCAAGAAGCTGCAGCGGTATAGAGACCAGATCAAGACATGGATCCAGTCCAGTGAAATCAAAGATAAGAAAGTTAGTGTTCTCTGTCTTATATCCTCCTTTTCGTTGACTGTTAAAAGGTGTCACATTGCAATGTATTGCCGTCCTTTGACAGCAGCTTTGATGACAGGCACATGTTAGATAGATTCGGCTGAAGTAGTTGAATTTCCCTTTAACTTTCTCCATGTTCATTCGACAGTAGTTTTGGTGTCATCTGGGTAACTATATTTAGGTCTTGAATCTGTCTAATATATAAATATATATATGTGTGTGTGTGTATACGTATATTCTATAAATAAGTTGTTTCATCCTAAGAGAACTTCAGTCAATAATATGAGGCTGGACCGAGCAAATTTTCTGTCTGACATAGGTCAGTGCATCATATGAGCAGTCGCTGGTTGATGCTCGCAAGCTCATTGAGCGTGAAATGGAAAGGTTTAAGATCTGTGAGAAAGAGACCAAGACAAAAGCCTTCTCCAAGGAAGGACTGGGCCAGCAACCTAAAACGGTGAGAACTAACTCTTTCTTCCACTTCTTCGTTGATTCATCTATGGTGCACCATGGAACTCTGGGAAATTCAAGTTTTAAAATGCTGATGCTTTTCGTGAGGTAGTTTTGGTTAGTTGATACTTCTAACTTTGCATCTTCTCTTTCAATGAGAAGGAGATTGCCCAGATGTTTTAACTGATAAACAAAATGTGATGTCTGAGATACCTGATTAAGAATGCTTCAAATTTCTCATGCATCATAATGCATAGAAAATGCATGAATTCAAACAAGTAGGACATTTTAAAAAAAAAAAGTATTTCAAGGTAGCAGTATCGGTGCCTTCTGTGTTTTTCTCTTGCTGAGAGGAAGTGATGGGCAAGCAACTACGTCTCAATTAGTTTTTTGCACTGCTTAATCAAAGATATGAACAAATTATCTCGTTACATATGCCTGGAGTTCCTTTCTAAACATTTATAGTTGTACTAGATCTTCTGGAAAGAGT